CCAGCCTTCACCATTGCACATTTGTATTCTATAATTTTATATTTACATTTTACAACTTATACTTAAAAGTTATATACAATATAAAGTATATACAATACTTTATATATTACATTCACCTAGATATATACATATACACTTACAATCAATCATATATATATATATATATACACTTACAATCAATCATATCCTACTGCTGTTACATTTTATTTACATATTACCTACTTATCTAATTGTCATTTATCTACTTACCAAACTGTTTTGTACTCTGTGTACTATCTGTATTTATTGTCCATATTTACTGTTGTCTTTTAGTCCTTGTGCTGTCTACTACATATATCACTGTGTTTTCTGAAGGAACTGTATTTAATTTTTATCCACTGCAATGCAATGTGCTAAAAATGACAATAAAGTTGATTTGGTTCATTTTATGAACAGGTGGAGAAGGACAACCAGTTGTCAGAGCTCGTGGAAATGGTTGTTGAAACACAGGCTGAGGTTGGAGCCAGTGGGTACAGTGTTGTGGGTGGAGGGGAGCAAGGCATCTTCATCAAAGAGGTCTTGAAAGACTCCCCAGCAGCAAAGCACCTCAGTCTACAGAAAGGTACCAAGGGACTGTATTTTACATTACAAAGTGCAATGTCAAATACTGTACACTGTAAAGACTTGAGCCACTGTCCTTGAAAAGACAAGCAGGAGAAACAACTTTAACCTTATAATCATTAATGGACAGGTGTTGAGTACAGGTGTGAATTAATTTAGTTTCCTGATGTACTAAGAATACCAAGACAAATCATGTAAGTTATAAATATTTTTTGATGATGTGTTATTGCAGGAGATCAACTGCTAAGTGCCAGGGTGTATTTTGATAACGTCAAATATGAGGACGCATTAAAAATTCTTCAGTGTGCAGAACCCTACAAAGTGTCCTTCTTTTTGAAGAGGACTGTGCCAGGAAGTGAAGTCAGCATACGTCCAGGTGCACAAAATCTTGAGCTCAGAGGACCTAAGGCCAAGATGCAAAAAATGGTACATGCTGAAATATTGCTATACAATAGAATTATTTTTTGAACATCCACAGTATTTCTTAAAGTGAATTAATTTTTCAAAAGTACTTACACAACAGTAGAAACTAGAAGGAATGATAACCTTGACATTGCAGTGCCCAAGATAGAAACGTCATGTCTTCCTATATTAGATGTGTCATTACCAAAGATGACTGCAAAAAACATTGATACTGAGGGACATGCAAGTACTGGGGTAAAATATGGAATGACAAAATTAGACATCTCTCTTCCAAAAATAACATCCCCTGAGGGTGAGGTCATAGTTGAAGAACCTGGAGCAAAAGGTGGAACAATTCACAAGCCAAATATCAGTATTCCATTACCAAAAGGTAAAGGTGAAGCAAAGGTGGATGGTCATTCTGAGAAAGGGCCAAGTGTGAAAATGCCACAAATAGACATTTCCCTCCCCAAAATGAAATTACCACAAGGTAAAATTGATATTGAAGGGCCTGAGGTCGACATTTCTTTGCCGAACGAAACGCTAGAGGGGGATGCAAATATTGAGGACCACTTTGGAAAAGGGGGAAAGATTAAAATGCCTAGAGTAGATGTCTCCCTACCTAATGTGAAATCATCTGAGCATGCCATTGCTGAGGGGCATGATATAAAAGCAGGAAAATTGAGTATGCCATCAATTGAAATTTCACTTCCTATAGGCAAAACTGAGGTTGGAGCTGATATTTCATTACCAAAAGAAAAAACAAATGAACAGATTAATCTTGAGGTTGAGAAGGGAGATACATTTCAGATTCCTAAATCTGATATAAGTCTGCCTAAACTCAAATTAGGAGAAGTTGATTTTGATGTTAAAAGAACCGATGGGAAGTTTCACATGCCAGCAATTGATATATCGTTGCCATATAGAAAAGACCAAAAAGATATTAATGTGGAACCCTCTGGTAAAGGTGGAAAGGTTGAAATGCCAAAGGTTGATATCTCTCTGCCTGCAGTGAAAGCTTCTGGTGTTGAGATTTCCTTGCCAAAAATGAAGTCAACACAAGGTGGCATCAGTATTGAAGGGTCTGACAGCAAAAGATTGAACATGCCATCCGTTGATATATCATTTCCAAAAGTAACAGGCACAGGTAATGTTGATCTCAAGAGACATTCAGGAAAAATAGGGAAGTTTGATATTCCAAAACTGGATATTTCCTTACTAAAATTTGAATCAACCAAAGGGGAACTCAGCGTGGAAGGACCTGAATTCAAAGGTGGCAAATTAAATATACCTTCTTATAATATCTCCTCAGATGTTTGTCTGGAGGGAGAAACCAAAAAGGGCACAACGTTTCAAATGCCAAAATTGGATATTAATTTACCACAAATAAAATCAGTAAGGACTGAAACAAATATTGAAGAACCTGAAGTGAAAGGTGGAAAGATAGATATGCCAGATGTTGACATTTCTCTTCCACGAGTAAAGGTAAAGGGAGATGGCAAAGTTAATGTCAGTAAGGGGGGCAAGTTTCATATGCCTCAAGTTGATTTGTCACTTCCAAAGATGAAAACAAGATCCATGGAAGTCAATATTGAAGGACCTGAGGTAAAAGGAAGCAAAGTTCACACACCTTCCCTTGACATTTCTTTGCCTAAAGATAAAACGGAGACAAACATTGATATAGAAGGCCATTCTGGAACAGGTATGAAGTATGAAATGCCAACAATTGATGTTTCACTGCCAAAAGTAAAAGCTTCGGAAGGAGATGTGGCTGTCGAAGGACAGGAAGGAAAGGAAAGAAAATTTGGAATACCTAAATTTGATGTTTCCTTGCCTAAATTTAAACCATCAGGAGGTGAATTTGACATTGAAGGTCCGGATATCAAGGTTGGAAAGATTCACATGCCCTCTGTTGATATCTCTCTGCCTGGAGGAGGAGCAGGAGGAGATGTAGATGTTGAAGGACCTGCAGGAAAAGGAAGAAAATTTGAAATGCCTAAATTTGATGTTTCCTTGCCTAAATTAAAACCATCAGGATGTGAAATGGACGTTGAAGGTCCCGATATCAAGGGTGGAACGTTTCACATGCCCTCTATTGATATCTCTCTGCCTGGAGGAGGAGCAGGAAGAGATGTAGATGTTGAAGGGCATGCAGGAAAAGGAAGAAAATTCGAAATGCCAAAATTAAAAACATCAGAAGGTGAAGTTGACGTTCAAGGTCCCAATATCAAGGGTGGAAAGATTCACATGCCCTCTATTGATATCTCTCTGCCTGGAGGAGGAGCAGGAAGAGATGTAGATGTTGAGGGACCTGCAGGAAAAGGAAGAAAATTCGAAATGTCAAAATTAGATGTTTCTTTGCCAAAATTAAAGCCATTGGGAGGTGAAATCGACATTGAAGGCCCCAATATCAAGGGTGGAAAGATTCACATGCCCTCTATAGATATATCTCTGCCAGGAGGAGGAGCAGGAGGAGATGTAGATGTTGAAGGACGTGCAGGAAAAGGAAGAAAATTTGAAATGCCTAAATTAGATGTTTCCTTGCCTAAATTAAAACAATCAGGAGGTGAAATGGACATTGAAGGTCCCGATATCAAAGGTGGAAAGTTTCACATGCCCTCTATTGATATCTCTCT